GTGACACGTCAGCTACAGTGACACGTCAGCAAGCCACGTCAACAGTGACACGTCAGCTATAGTGACACGTCAGCAGTGCCACGTCAGACACAGTGACACGTCAACAGTGACACGTCAGCTACAGCGACACGTCAGCAGTGCCACATCAGAAACGTAAGCAGTTTCACGTCAGCAGTGCCACGCCAGACACAGTGCCACGTAAGCAGTACCACGTGAGACACAGTGTCACGCCAGACAGAGTGCCACGTCAGCAGTGCCACGTCAGCAACATGACGGGCCTGCTAGGCCAACTGGCCAATGAGCCTATTGCCGACTACTAAAAGCGCTTCCAGGCTCAGCTCGCTTTCATCGAGGCTGAGGAACAACGCCAGCTGGCAGCCGCGGCTGCCCAGCTACAAGCTGAAGAAGCAGCAACAGCAGAGAAGCTGCGGCTACAGACCGAAGCAGACGCAGATGCCCAGGCTCACCGCAAGGAAGCCCAGGATCTGCTGCAGCGGCATGAAACCAACAGCATCGACAAACTCAAGTTCTGGCACTTTGAACCGAACGGCGACGAGGCAACACCGGAAGAGCAGCAGAAGGAGTTCATAGCCAAGCTCGTGACCAGGTTGGTTTACACTTGTAACCACCTACAGTCTGAGCTGGCGAACCTCCAGCATGCCGTGCGGAACCATAAGACTCAGCACGAGGATGCCACACGGGCACTGGACGCCCGTGTACAGTACTTGGAACAAGTTCCACCAAGACCAGATGCTGGGGCTTCCAGCAGTGCATCCTCTAGCCGCCAACTGGAGGAACGCGTTGACCACTTAGTGGCAATGCTAGGAGACATAAGTGCCTTCACAGAGCCGGCCACCATCAGCCAGCGGTTCGAGTTGCTGGACACCAAGATCAGTCAGCAATAGCAGATCGACCACAACCACAACGACAGCTCGGCGAGGCCATACAAGATGTCGACTTTCCGGATCGAGAAATTTGATGACTACACACATCAAGACTCGGTCGTCTGGTGGCAAGGATTTACAACGGAGTTGGGGATTCACGAGGTCCCTGACCATCTGTTCATCAGTGCTCTGTTCATCAACACCAGGGGAGGATGTCAGATCTGGCTCAGCCACATGGCAACCATCCACGGCGTCCAGGTTTCAGACCTGTACAAGAAGGTCTCCTGGGAGGATATGACAAAGGAATGGAAGAAGCGGTTCATCGTCGACGAAGCCCCGGCACTCGCCATCAACCGCATCTTCACGATGGCTCAAGGGAGCACACCGACACGTGACTGACTCACGGATTGGCAGAAGATCGTGGCCACGCCCGATTTGGACTTGCCATTTCCGCATCTACGCCGTGAGTTCTACAACAGGTCATGCGCCGCTCTCAGCCTCGCACTTGGTGATCGCGAGCAGTACAGCACTTTCGCAGAGATCATCAACAAGGCGAGGGAGATCATCAAGACCAACAGGGCCGCTGCACACGAGAAGTCAACGTGGCAGCCAACCTATGTGGAGAAGGTAAGAACTGGTCCGCGACAGCAGCAGTTCACTGCAGTCCAATCGGACAGTGGAGAAGACCCGGCAGCCACTCCAGCATCACGTGAGAGAGATCAGGTGGCTGTCGTCCAGCCACGAAGCAACAACAAACCCCGAGTGAACGGGAATGCGAAATCAACATCGCCGGTCGGAAATGGACAACCTGCACCACCATGGGTCAAGTTCGGCTTGACAGAGCCCGAGTACAAATACCGTGGCCGTTACGGCTGCTGCTACTGGTGCAACAGCACCAAGCACAAAACCTCTCTTTGCCAGGATCAGGCCAAGGAGGATGTGCGGCCTCGGCTCAACTCGGGAAATTGAGTTTCGCGGGAGGTGAGGCGACTCCACCCCCCACTCCGCCAGATTCGGCCGCCTTGCTAGCGGCCTCCTACACATCTGGGGAGGATGCGAATGTCGCAAGTCCTCGGTACACTTACGAGGATTATGTTGTCCACCTGGTTCCACCGCTGGACCAACCACTCCACGTGCAACAATCTACCGTATGCACGGTTTCATCACCATCGGCAACCGATTCGGCAGCTTCGTCGTCATCTACCGCCTGGGATTCAACGACATGGTCAAGTCTTGAAGAACTCGACCCGTTGACTTTTGAGGACTTCCAATGGATGCCCCTGCCCCGGTCCGGTCGCTTGCCGAAACCGCATTGCAACGTGCTCAAGGTACAATTGCGAGATTACTTGCACACTGCAGTACCGACTCCGTTGATGGACGCCGGAGTAGAGGTTGTCGACCTTCACGCCTACATTGCGAAGATCGACCGCGAGTTCAAGACGCAACGGTACGACGACATCGACGCACCATTGCTATATGTACGCATTCAGATTGGAGAGGCGACCTGCAGCGCTTTGATTGATTGCGGAGCATCTCGCAACTACATGAGTCAGGACTTCATGGTACGTGCCGGCCTTGGCCCACGAGTCCGAAGGAAGTCCCAGCCCACGCAAGTCACATTGGTGAACGGTCACACGCACAAGTCAATCGATCGGTGCATTGACGACGTCCCAATGTACTTTGCCCCTCATGCAAGTGAGGCGGTGTCCTTTGACATTCTGGACACCAAATTTGACATGATCTTGGGCATGTCATGGCTGCGAACCGAGGACCACCCGGTGAACTTCTACTGCCGCACTGTTCACATTCGTGATCGGAATGGAGTACTAGTCCCATGCACAGTAGCTCCTCATCACCCTTCAGTCAGCTGTCACGTGGTATCCGCCGCAAGCATGCGAGCTTCCATCATCAGAGACGACATCGAGGAGATGGGGGTGTGTTTCCTCCACGCCCTCCCGCCCCAAGACGCGTCATCGACGGACTCATATTCAGATCCATGCATCACCGAACTTCTCGATGCCTACAGCGACGTGTTCGAAGGCCCGCACGAAGTAGTACCGAATCGGCCCATCCGCCACGAGATCATCCTCGAGGACGGGGCCGTACCTCCACGCGGTTGCATCTACCGAATGAGCGAGGAAGAGTTAAGTGTGTTTCGGGCACAACTCGACGACCTTCTGGAGAAAGACTGGATTCGGCCTAGCTCATCGCCATACGGTGCTCCTGTTCTCTTCGTCCAGAAGAAGAACAAGGACTTGCGGTTGTGCATCGATTATCGCAAGCTCAACGCGCAGACGATCAGAAACGCCGGCCCTCTCCCACGCATCGACGATCTTCTCGAGCGACTGGGCGGCGCCAATTTCTTCTCCAAGCTGGATCTCAAGTCGGGATACCACCAACTCGAGATTCGCGAGGACGATCGCTACAAGACCGCGTTTAAGACGCGATATGGGCATTTCTAATGGCTGGTTATGCCATTTGGCCTTACGAGTGCCCCGGCCACTTTCCAAGCGGCTATGATAACGGAGTTCCGACACATGTTGGATCGATATGTACTTATCTACCTCGACGACATCCTGGTGTACAGCCGGAGTTTGGAGGAGCATGTGGAACACCTGCGCACCGTTTTGGAGCGGCTACGACAGGCCAAGTACAAAGCCAACCGTGACAAGTGCGAATTCGCACGGCAGGAGCTGGAGTACTATGTGACGCTGCAAGGCATCCGTCCGCTTGCAGACAAGATCGAGGCCCTACGAGTATGGCCCGAGCCCACCAACCACGGACGTTCGTTCATTCATGGGATTGTCGGGCTACTATCAGCGATTCATCACCGGATATTCCAGGATTGCTGCACCTATGACGAGGTTACAGTCGCCAAAGGTGCCATTCGTATCCGATGGCGACGCACGCCGGCCATTCCAAGTACTTAAGACGACTATGCTTATGGCACCCGTCCTTAGCATCTATGACCCCACACTCCCAACGAGAGTGACTACGGACGCTTCCGGCTATGGAATTGGGGCAGTCTTGGAACAGCACGACGGCGACGACTGACACCCTGCCACAAAGTGTCTCCCATCAACTCGCTTGATGATGCAAGGAAGAAGGAGCTGCTCGTATCCGTCATGGCTCTCAAGCGATGGCGACACTTCCTCCTTGGGCGTCGTAGGTTCACATGGGTTACGGACAACAATCCATTGACCTACTACAAGACGTAGGATACGGTGAGCAGCACGATTGGACGATGGATGTACTTCATCGACCAGTTTGACTTCACACCGAAACATCTTCCCGGCCTCTCCAATCGCGCAGCAGATGCACTCTCGCGAAGACCCGATCTTTGCGCTATGACACATCATGCCTTCGCATTCGACGAGGAGCTTCAGTGACACTTTATCCGGGCATATGAGTCTGATCCGGACTTCGCCACGCTGTATGCACAGCTATCTTCAGATCACCCGCCGGTCAGCCACTATCGCATTGCCGACGGGTACTTGCTCCTCCACTCGAGAGGCAAGGACTTACTATGTGTCCCACGCGACCGCCATCTACGGACTCGCCTCCTCGGCGAGTATCATGATTCACGACTCGCCGGCCATTTCAGAGTCAACCGCACTATTGCACGGCTTCGACAGCGATTCCGATGGCCCGATCTCATTACCGATGTCACTCGGTATTGCAACTCTTGCGAAGTTTGCCGACGCAGCAAGCCCCGCAACCGCAATCCCTACGGCGAGCTACGCCCGATGCCTATCCCACAGGAACCCGGGCTCTCCATTGCCATGGACGTCACCGGTCCATTCCCTCGCGACCGGCTCGGGCACGACGACATCCTCACGGTTGTGGACCGATTGAGTAAGTACGTACATTTTCTTCCTTGCAAGTACTACTCCACGACTCCCGAGCTGGCACGCCTCCTGCACACTGGTTGGATTTGTGGCCACAGTATACCAGAAGACATAGTCAGCGACCGTGACACCCGCTTCATGTCGGCATTTTGGACTGCTCTCATGCAGGAGTCCGGCACGAAGATGAAACCAAGTTCGGCTCAGCATCCACAGACGGACGGGCAAACGGAGCAGGCACATCAAACCGCCCAAATGATGCTTCGTACGCTCATCCGTCCGGACCAGAAAGATTGGGTTGACCGCCTCCCCGACATCGAGTTCGCCTACAACACTTCGGTGCATCCGGCGATCGGCGTAACTCCATTCGAGTTGCACCACGGTGGACGGAAAGGCCGGATCTTCG